ATATGCTTTAACTTTAGCTAGATGGGTATCAGTACACACCCTGGATTAAAGCTGAGATTGCTGCATTTTTATTGGTAGGAAGGTAGGCTGGAAAAAATTTGAAAGTGTGATGATAGGATCCATATTAAATTTATGGTATTCTTTAAAAGATAGACCAGAGTCTGACCTATTTATGTTCAAATCCAAGAAAGAGATATTGTTACTCTCTCTTCCCATTTAATTTTACATGGTGATGATAATTTTAAGTTATCAACAGTACTTGTGTATTTTATAATTTCTGAATTCTTGTATTTTATTGTTTTAATTTTGTGTTAATTTGTGTCAAATTTTGTGTCAATTTGTAACATTGTGTTAATTTGTGCCAAAAGATAGTCTTTTGTTTTATTTATAAACAGTATTGATATTGTTTGCATTTTGATATTTTTCCACATTTTGATTTATTATTAAGATATACTGTATAAGTTAATTTTAGAAATACTTTAGACTAACAGCATATAGTTGACCATCAGATGAAATAGAAAACAGGCACATCATACTCAAATACTAGGCTACATGAACAGCAACAAGATAAATAAGAATTAAATTTAATAGTTGTTCATAATAAATTCAAACACTTGGCATTTTATCATCTTTATTTAGTTCAGTTGAACTAAGTAAAGATGAAGAGTTTGAATTTATTACACTACATAGCATTTAAGANGTTGATGATAAGGTATAGACGATACTAAGGGCATTAAAGTTTTTCTTTTGGTAAAAATGAAAGGTGTGCGGATAGTTCATGATGGGATAATCGCTAAAGTTGGGAAATAAAACTGGAAAATAACCGTGCAACGTAAAGAAGATGCACTATCATGATAGGGGGTTAATGGGGAGTGACGTCATAGTTGATAATGGAGCATAGACGATGCTGACGTCATTAAATAATTTATGATATAATAAGAAAAGGTGTGCGAATGACCATAGATGAGAAAGGTGCTACGCTTGGAAAGCAGAATTAGAAAAATAAACGTGACAAGTAAAAAAGTGCTAATGGTTGTACAAGGCGAGGGTGGATTGGTCTATTTAGTTTAAGGGGTTATTGAAGAGTGATTTCCATGTGGAGGAGAGCAAGTCTGCATCTCTGCTGTTGATACAACTGTCTTTGAGGAATTGCTTAAATACAGTAGAGTGTCGTTTATCCGAAAACTGGTTATCTGAAACGTCCGTTATCCGAAAGCATTCCAATCGGCAAATTTAAATTTTCGCTAGTGCTCTGGCGCTGCAATCTTTGGCTATTTCTCAGGCTACTCAAATATTTTATGTTTTTGATACTAAATTAACTTCTGAAGTATAATTTTTTATTGTTTTTATATTTTTCAATAAATTAATTTTGTTTGTACAAAATAAAAAAATAATTTTTAACAATACAATAGTCTTTGTTAGGCTTAACATCGACGAAAATTCAACGCGAAGCGA